ATAATTTAATATATATATTTAGTATATAATATACAAATTATATGAAATTATTTTTTTTAAAAAAATAAAAAAAAATAAAAATAAACAAAATAAAATAAAAATAAAAATAAAATAAAAATAAAAAAAATAAAATAAAAATAAAAATAATAAAAGTAAAATAAAAATAAAGATAAATAAAATAAAATAAAATAATAATAATAATAATAATAAAGCACAAATTTGTTCTATCCCTACCTACAGAAAGACCTGGGAACGTTAGTGCGACACCATTAGATTCTATATTGCTTTGGTCAAGAAGCATATACCGTGGACTCCATTGTGGTGCAAATTTTTTTCAAATAATCCTTAATGCCAACGCAACAGCCTCACTATTTTCTTTATTAACAAAAAAGTGGGTGCCGATATTCCAACAGCCACAGCCATTGTGGATATATAAGGTAAATAAATGCTATCTGTGCTTATTAGTATTATGCGTAAAATCTATTAGCATTAACCAACTGTAATGTGTTAGATTTTCTATTTGCCACAGATTTGCAAAGCATAAACCTTGCAAACGCCCAAGTGACTCTTGTTTTCGAAAAGACTCAACTTAATAATTATTTTTTATTAAAAATTCAATTGTAATTAAAATATCAGATTTTAAATCTGCATCTCCAACAAGATGCGAATTCATCAGACCAACAAGCTTCTGCTTAATATTAGTGACCTCTTTAGTTTTTAAATATTCCACGCCAGAGTCTTCACACACTTTAGAGACTTCTTTTCTAATAACATTTGTAATCGTCAGAGGTTTGTAATCTTTAAGTGCCTCGTCACCCACCATATCTTTAATAAATTTTGACCGTTTTCACATATCACTTTCTTCCATCAAATGGCTATGATTAGGAGTACTATTCATCTATAAACAATTTTTTTTTTTTTTTTTTTGATTATTTATTAAAATACTATATTACAATGTTTAAATAATATTATCCTTATTCTTACCCTCTCAATTCTAACTATATTTGATGCCACTAACCACGTTATTCTAATTCTTGCTTCATAGTTAATTGCGAGTTTTTTCCAGATTATACAAAGCTTCTCAGAAGGGTGATTTTCTTTTCTTCTACTTAATTCTTTAGGTTTTGAAAGTTTACAAATGAAAGTTTTACATTTGTCGCCATTATCCAATATATAACTATTGAATCTTGTTCAAAAGTTATCAATAAGCACCCACAGTTTGTTGAAATCCTCAGTAGAAAGTTTAAAAGTTTTATTTACATTAAAAAGACATTCTCAGATGGTTGACATTGCTAATAGTGTAACCGCACTATTATAATTGATAGTTACTGTAAGTTTTTTTTTATTTTTTTTTTATTTTTTTATTTTTTTTTTATTTTTTTTTTATTTTTTTTTTATTTTTTTTTTATTTTTTTTTTATTTTTT